CACCACCAGGTTATGCTAAAATCAACCAAGTAACAGAGATCAACGTATCACCCATCAATTTACAAGTCCAAAACAGGATGGATGAGGTCAAATATATGTAAAACCAAAAATCAAACTCACGGCCATCAAGGTGGTTCAACTAGTAGGGACATCCATTGGGTTTCCAAGGCTATAAATCTTTATGCAAATAGATTGCTCCATCTTTCTTTCATGGCACAGCTAGTAGGTTTTAATTGCTAATGTTCTGGTTAGCAGCCAAATGCCTTGTCTACTACACCAGAGCTCCTTTAAGTATATGCAAAAGCCACCTTAAAAAAAAAAACAAAAAACCAAGCATCAACCACACCTGTTACTTGCTTAGTGTCTCTCTACATGCCAGGCATTGCAGCAAGGCACTTTTAGTATTATCTCCCTGAATCTTCACAATGACTGAGCAAGACAGGTTAAGAAAATCATGGCCAAAAGCAACTTGCCCAAAAGAACAGACTAAATGATATTATAAACACATCTGACATGAATTGAACCCTACTGTGTGCCAGGTACTGTTCCTGGTACCTTTCTAACTGTTATATCCTCATAACCTTATGAAGCTGGTACTTTTTTTTTTTAAAAAAACCACCTCCATTTTATATCTGGAAAAAGTGAAGCAAAAAAAGATTAGGTGACTAGCCTTTGTTCACATAAAGTACTAAGTGCAAGAGTTAGAATTTGTGTCCAGGCAGACTGCAGTCAAAGTCTACCACCTCTAACTACTGCCCTATACCATTTCAGCAGAGTTGAGCTCAGCAGACTTCATAAAGCCAAGACCAGGCAACAACTAAAACTAAAACCCCATTCGATAAGCTACTTTTGCTAGCTAGACCCTTTCCCAATTAGCACCCATCCAATTTTCAGTAATTCCTACAAAAAAAACAGGAAATTCCAAAGCCAAGTGAGTAGCCACAAATATATTGTGTCAAAAAACCTGCTTAGATGTCAGTGGCTTTAACCACCCAGAAATTCACTTACTGATAGAAACAGCAGATAGCAATTCTTCCATGAAAGGGTAAGAAGGGACTGAACAAACAGTCTGTGGCTTTCTTAATCCATGTGTATGGGATGTTATCAGTGCTCATGTTCATTTGGAGTAATAGCTAATTAATTTACATAAATTAATTTCATTTAGTCTAAGTTTAAATTTGTTAGGAGATGGTGAATTAATGTATCTAGGAAAGGTGGCCCTAGAAACATTGTAACTGGACTTTATCAAAACTTTCCATTGTTCCATATGCAATTCCCTGCATCACTCTACCAGATTCAAGTTGTTACTTTGTAATAAACCAAATGAGATTCTGAAAGAATGCTTGCAGGTTAATAGGCAAAAAGCTGACATGTAAAACTTTAGTTCTATTTTACAATAGAAGCCACCAGAGTAAAATGTGATGAGGAATAAAAACTTTTATCTGTGTATTCAGAATCACACACAAATTACCTTTACAGTTCAATTTACTATACAGAAATCATTTGGGTTTTATATTTTCAGATAAATTCTGAACTGAGATTACAATATTGTGAAGAAAAAGATTGTTACATTAATTCAGTACCATTTTAGCATACCAAATTGAAATGCGTAGGTTCAAACTTCAGATTTATGGCAAACAGTCTTCAAATACAATACAGACATTTCTAAAAGTTACCATATTGTTCACATGTGATGTCTGCAACTCTGGGCTGTTTCACACACAGCTCTTCGACAGATATGGCAAAACTGATATGCCATGTAGCTCATGGTTGTATAGCCAAGCCAAGGACTCAAAGTTGCACCATCTTTAAAAAGGTTTGGCATTTATGGACCACAACAAAGCACAACATGTAAAGAAGGCAGGCAACGATTCCTCCTCCTTGGTACAGTTAAAAAACATTGCATGATAGTTTGGAATTTTGCATAAAACCCCATATCATACCTTGGAAGAGTCCAAGGGCAATTAAATGATAATGGATTGGGGTCTTAAATTTTATCAATAGAACCCATGAAATTCAAAAGGGCACTAATCAAATCAAAAATATTAAGCACCTACTGATTTAAAAGATTGAAATTTATCAGCGATTCATGATCTTTTTTTTTTTTGCACCTTGAAAGGAAGGTGTAAAAACCAGCTGTTAAGTGCATTCCAAACTTCTACTATGTAGCACATGTAGAATATTCTGTCCATTGGCACCAAAGTAAAGTCACATTTCCTCTTGGAAGACAGAAATTCCACATCTGAACACAGAGTAAGTTAGGAAAAAGGACTGTTTGTTTATTACGATTGTGACTGAGATACAGGATCACTAATAAACTATCAGTGAGCAATGCAAACCCCGGCAGCAGTGTCAGGTTAGTGATGCTTCTCCCTTTCCCAACCACCGCAGAAGTTTAGTATGAAAAGAATTAAAAGCTATCACCAAGCTGAACAAATGGGAAATAACAAACTAAGGGCACAGCTTGGGAAAAAAAAAAGTTTGAAATCATTGCAATTGAGAAATTGAAGGAAGTAAGTGTGCTTTACCACACTCTGTACACCTCTGAAATTAAATACTATTCCATGCAAAAAGAGCATTAGGGTTCTGGATATGAGTGTAGCCCTTCTTTTAAATTTTAGTGCTCTGCATTTTTCTGCAATTTTATTTACCTCCCCCCAGTTTACCGGAAAGTATTTAATAGAATCTTCCATTTCAGACCAAAGATTTGGAAATCAAAGGTTTACTAAGGTACTCTATGCATTCTATCTATACAGAAACACCTATTAATTATTACAATTGGTTTATGCAGGATTAACATTTTTGGTGTTAATATTGTTAAACATCATGCTTACTGCACATCAACTCTCCATAATGAATCTGAACTTCACAATGATTTACCAAAACATTTTACTTAAATTACTAATTAAATAATTGAAAAAACATACTGAGCCAAACTAAACTTAAATGGGCTAATAAAGAAAAATAACCTTCAAAACAATTCATATACACATCTATTTCAAAACTATCCTTGCTAAGCTAGCCCCTTTCCCCAAAGTTTTAGCTTGAAAAAACAGTAAAATCTACACAAAAATTTTATTGCAATCATACAAGGGTTACATTAGGTCAAATACAACAAACACTATGATGCAATTTTACATTTATTAAACTATAGTCCAAAGCACAAAATTTACACATTCTAAATACACTAAACGTATCTAATGAAGTCACACTGGTCTTCCACTGACATTTGATATTATCTGGGTGAAAGACATTAACTTTACAAGACTTTAACACGAATCCTTAGTATAAAAACTGTGTACTTGTATGTAAACGGTTTAATGGGGAACCCAATTAATGGGCTTCCATCTCCACTAAGTCATCCATTTTGTTGCATATTTTATTTTAAACGCTTAGGGGTAGGTCAAACTGGTAAGTTTAAATTGGATACATTATCTAAATCTCCCATTAGCCCAGTGAATTCGAATTGAAATATTTTGTCTGGTCCCAAATAGCTATTATTAATAGTTTCTGTTTTCAAGAGAATTAACAGAGTAAGATTGTTCAATTTTTTTTCCCCCACACTGGAATGTTGACCAGACAAGCTTAACCTGCAACTTCAGATCTAGAGAAGTGTTCATGCCTGCTTAAGCTTCAGTGGAAAAGCTGTCTTCTTGGTTCAACTGAATGCAAGAAGGCACAAAGAAGAAGTTCTTCATCATTGTGTCTGAAGTAATTCCAGCATCTTGCATCTCATACCTACATAAAAAGAATAAGCAAGATCCTGTGATTTAGAATAAACACTGCCACTCAACCACACAACATATGGACAATGAAATAAAACTAATAATAACAAGTCTTCCAATAACCCTTAAAAGGGTTTAGTACCTTCCTCATAAGATATACAGTCTCTGTAGAATTAGTTATTACAAAACCTAAAATGCCACCTGAAATATCCCATCTGCTTTAAGATAAAATCATCACCTTACCAATCACTAAACGACATCATGTAATAAATAGCTGGCCTCTGAAAATCATTAAAAGCAGATGGTTCACGGAAAGAATCCGCTCCCATGTTATCAAAGATAAGCCAATCTCCCACATCCAGCTCAGGAAGAAGACAACTTTCCACAATCTGATCAAGCTCATCACAGGATGGACCCCAAAGGCTGCTTGTAAACAGAGGCTCATCTTCCTTGTATTTCTGTAGGAAAGAAAAGGTTTTTACAAAAATAATTTTTCACTCATGTGTATTATAAGAATTTGCAGGGAAATAAGCATTTTCACAATTTCAGATCCAATGCACTCATATGTATTATGAAGAAAGGCCTCGAGCCAGGCACAGTGATGCCATCCTGGGCCTCCTTCTCAAGTCTGATGGTACCATGTCCACATCAAGGCATCAGATCAAAGAGACTTAGAGGAACACAAACCTCAAAAAAGATAGTATTTTTCCGCCTCCTGAAATATTTACTCAAAAAATTGAGATGCATCTTAAAATAACAGCTCTGTTAGGCACCATCGAATAGATTTTGGTATTATTTGTCATAAACTTACCTTGTGAACCTCTGGAATGGCATTTAAGTCCTCAGACAGTTTACTTGCAAAGGAACCATAAACACCATCATTCATGTAATACATAAAAGCGGGTTCATCACTTCCGGTTTTTTCTACTGAAATAAAAAGGGAAAAGATAAATGAATTTATAGTAAAATGTGTAATATTGCAGTGTAGTAAATTACTTAGTGTGGCTTTTCTACCCATAAGTCTTTGTAAACTCCAAGGTGGGATTTTCTATGAGCAACTGAGGAGCTCCTGATTGCGGAAGTTGTCCACCTGGAGTATTTCTGTTGGGAGTGGCACAAAACAATGTTCTGGGAGGTGCCCACTCTCTCTCAGGTGCTTAGAGTTCTGATGCTATGATTAGCTAGTTTGACCACCCTGCCGGGCTCAAAAGGAGGCCTCCTAGAGGCAGAACTCTCTCTGACTGCTGGTTGAGGAAGATGTGCTGCTGAAAGAGACATGTGCTGCTGGGAAAGAGATGCAAGAGACACACATTGCTGAGTGAGACACCGAGGGACCAGCCCTGCTGGGAAAGAGACTGTGAGAGACTGTTGGCTGAGGGACGGTGGGCTGGGAGAGAGACTGAGCGTTTTTCCTGAACTTGAATTGTAGTCTGGTGCTTCCATAATAAACCTCATAATCTGTGAGCTCTGTGTGGCCACTGCAGAAAATTACCAAACCCAGGAGAGAGGTGGTGGGTGCCTTGGGAGGAACAGTTGGTGAAAGGGCTGGAGGGAGGCAGCATGTCTGGCCTTGCTACAATAGGCCTTGCGCTATTGATGGTGATTCTGCCTTCCTCTTGTGGGATTACAGGAGGTCAGAACATGTGGCCTCCTTGCCGTTTTTGCAAATATATAGTCAGAAGATACACAAAGCACAACAAATCGATTTAGCTATTATTTCTAAAACTGCATAATCTAGTTTACATATTTCTCAACATATTTAAATTGACAGCAAGTAGATATATACTGACATACTGCATAACAAAATTCTTGGCTTAAAGAACTGAACACACATTTCAACAAAGGAAGATAATGATCAGTGAGCACACAAAATATGTTACCAGGTAAATGCAAATTAAAAATCACAATGAGCCCCCACGATATTTAGAAGAAAGGATAAAATTAAGAGACTGATAATAGAAAGCAGCTGGTAAAGGTGTGGAGAAATCAGAACTTGCACACATCCACTGCTGGTGGAAGGGTAAAGTGGTAACATTCACTTTGAGAAAGGTTTGGAAATTTATCATAACATTAGAAAAACACTGACTCTATGATCCAGCAATTCTTTTATTTATTTAACAGAAATGAAGAAAAAAAAAGTCCGCAAGACTTTTACATGAATGTTCATAGCAACTTTATTTTTAAGAGCCAAAACCTGGAAATAACCCAGTCTGTCAACAAACGGACGAACTGTATAATGCACACAACAGAGTATTATTTAGCAACAAACATGAAGAAACATGGATCAATTTAAGGCCCGCTGAGACATTTTACACAGCAGAATATACCATCTTAAGTCCACTTATATGAAGTTTACAGACAGCCCAAAATAATCTATGGTGGAAAAAAATCACAATAGTGGCTGTCAGGAGAGGCAAAATGAGAAAGAAATTCTTTCTCTCTATATATATTCTTCCTGTGTATCTTGATAGAATGTGGGTACCATGTGCTCATCAACTCATTAAATTATATTACTTAGGGTACTCTAGTTAAATGGCTTGTTTTTTGCAGTGGTATGGGTTAGCAATTCTGAAGACACTTTCTGTGTAATTCTGGACTTAACTATAACAATTACAGTGAGACTGATAAGAATTAGGTTTCTCACTCTTTGGGAAGGGAGCTACAGATACAGAAAAGGGGAAGAGTAGAAATGTAAAGTGTAAGCGCAAAGCGTGCACCTTCTACACCCCACCACTTGCCACTGCATCATTCTGGACTCATGGCAGCCCTCTGTGTGTCGGGGTAGAACTGTGCTCCACGGCGTTTTCTTTTTAGTGGTTCCTTTTTGGGAAGTAGACCTCCAGGCCTTTTTGCCAAGTTGCCTCTGAGTCCAAGTGAACCTCCACCTCCAGCATTCCCATCAGCAGCCGAGTGTGTTAATAATCTGCACCACCCAGGGGTATCTTTTAATATATGATGTATACACTTATAATATGCATACGTATTTCCTAGCTCTGTCAAGGGAGAAAGCCTAGAAGCAATAACTCTCTAGTAGCAGCAGCGAACACATCTACTACTTCATTTCTTGATTTTTAAAATGCCACTCTCCACTAAAATGCACCAAGACTCCTTAAGAAACAGTTGATTCCAGGTTATGAGGCAGGAAAAGTAAAAGATGAGCCTGGAATATTTTGATGTACCAGCTAAGTAGCGCACATCAAACGACTCAGCTAAAGGACCCTCCACTGGCCAAATGACAGTATGAGCATTACAGTAAATAATGAAAGTAATAGATTATACTCTATTGCATAAATATCTATGAGTCTAAACTAATACAAACAAACATACAGGTGAGAGGGAAAACTATTCTTTCCAGTAAAAGGCCAACTAATATACAAACTGAGTAACAGTCAGAAACTCATCGATTGATGCTAACATGCAAACTCTTAAGTATCTTCTCACTTCACAATGGAGAAATCTGGCTGACAACTACCTCAACCAAATAATCAAAACTTAAAATTAGTACCACCAACATTAAAACAGACTGCTCTCATGTGCCTCCTACAATAATGCACTGAGAAAGACAGAATATTGCTTCAGTGGACTTCCTGCCAAAAACTCATAACCTGACTCTAATCTTAAGGTACCATTAAGCCAAAATCAAATTCACTGCGATTGAATCAATACTGACTCAGAGATCCCCACTAGGCTTCCAAGGCTGTAAATCTCTATGGAAGATTGCCTCATCTTTCTTCCATGGAGCAGATGGTGGGCTCAAACTACTAATCTTTTGGTTAGCGACCAAAATGCTTTAACCAGTGCAATACCAGAGCTCCTTAAGGTACCATTAGACAAACCCAAATAGACATTTTATAAAATCCCTTTTTAAAAACGTCAAAGTGAAAAAATACAAAGCAAGGCTGAGGAATTTTTTCCAGACTAAAGGAGTCATGACAATTATATGCAATGTGTGGACCTGGACTAGATCCTAAATAACAAAAACCAAAAAGATACATGAGGTAACATTGGGAAAATGGATAATTTTCCAATGGACTGTAGATTAGGTAGGTAACAATACTATAAAAAATAAACCAAACCCACTCCCACTGACATATATATGCCGCACCCACTACACTACCAGAGCTCCTCAAACAGTACTATTTATCAATATTAAGTTATCTGAATTTTAGAACTATTAAGTTGTAGCCTTATCCAAGGGAAATACAACTAAAGGGGTAGTATCTCCAACCTGCTCTCAAATGGCTCAGAAAAAATTATGTTTATGTATATAGAACTGATGAAACAAATAGGTCAAAATGAATACAATGAACCTGGGTAAAAGGTTATGGAAATTCCTTGTATTCTTGCAACTCTTTAAATTTAAGAAAATATAAAACTCAAAAAAAATTTAAAAAACCTCTTATCTTTGCACATATAAAGATCTGAAAAAGCTCAGTGAAGAACAGCACAGTACTTCCTACATATTGTCCATAAGACAACCAGGATGGATTGAAAGGGTGATAAAGCTTTGCTGGCCTTGTTATGTAAGAATCAGGTAGATTACTCTCCCTGTGACCTCTCTGGGCAAAAGGAGAGTGACAAAGATATCACAGTAAAGCAGTGGTACTTAACAAGAGCTGAGAAATCACCTGGGGAAGTTTATGGAGTGGGACCACGACTAGGACAGTTTGGAACACTCCCCAGATGCCCACAGCTGGTTGACAAATACCCACATCATCACTCATGAAATAAACAGCTTATTTTCACATTTTAGTTTCTCATAAATTCATCTCCAGACTAACTGGAATTCTCTATTAACAGAAATAAAACTATAAATACTTTGTAACTTACCTCCAGAGGAAAATTTATCGTTTTCAACAACCTTCTTTGCAATGATATTAACTGCAAGTGTAAATGCAGAAGACACGTAGTAGCCTCCCGGTTCTGAGATTATCTTAATGCCAGATCCTTCAGGAAAGTACACATCCAACAGAGGGCTGATAACATGATTAACCTACGATTAAAGCCCAGACGTGGTCTCAAAACTGGAGTAGATCACTCTCAATATTAAGAGATTTAAGTTTTCTAGAATTGAATAGTTCATTTACAAACCATGTTAAGCTATTCAGAAATTATCTTCAAGCAATTTAACAGGATTTCAAGTCATCAAAGTTTATTTTGTAGCTGTCAGAATGGCATTAATTTTTAGAACTATGTACACATAATTACTGGTGATTAAAATCAGTTAAGTCTTCTCATTGCCTGTTATTTTCTTAGAATAAAATTTTAACAGATTAGTACAGGCTTTAGAATCTGCCCGACATCTATTCCCACTGGGAAGACGCTAGTCTAAAACCCAAGTAGCAAACAGGTAGACTGTTCTGTTAGGCCCATCCACCAAACAGTTTACCTCTTCCAACTGAAATTCAGTTCCTGTGAAGCCTCCACCAATGTCTAACATGTTCATCTTGAAGCCAAATTCTCCCTAGAGGTAGAAAAAAATACTTCAAATGTTCTGCCAAATTGCAACAAATATAGGGACATTTTGAAACACTCCTTCTACCCCAGGATGTAAATAATATCTTAAACTGTTCTGTACTTTAGTATAATAAATTCTTTGGTTTTTATAATACATGTATGTTATGCTGTTTCTGAATCAAGTTATAATCAATTATAAATGTAATTTACTATCATTATGCTTATATCTGTCATCTAGATACGCAAGTAATCTACTACTTCACTTCCTCACCTACTTAAAAAGATGTTACTATACAGAACTCTGAGTGCTATTACAGAAAACAAGGTATGTGTCACAATAGGTAGAGAAATGTAGAAAATACTGAATCTGAGCCTTCATAATATCCCAGCTTAAGATATCAAAATAATTGAAGAACTTACAGCCATGTCAAACACACATCGAGCATCAGACAGAGCATGTACATATACTTGAGATTCTTTGCAAGCACTTGAAATGTGAAATCTGTAAAGAACAGGGCAGTAAGTTTAAAAGAGCAGGAAGCATTAGAGAGGTTGTTCTTATAATTCTTGTCAATTACTAAATATTCCAATTTTAAAGAGCTCTATAGAGCCTCTAGTTACCTGAAATACAATACCAGCTTTTTAACTATGCCAATGTTGAGAGAACACTGTAATTCTTTAAAACTAAGCCACTAGCCATGCTTTCTGGGTATCATATAGGAGCATGCTTTTATTTATGGTAAAATAAAAAGCAATCCCAGGATTCCTGGCTGTGCAGTGGTTAGTACTTGGCTTCTAACCAGAGTATCAGTGGTCTGAACCCACTAACGGATCCCACTGGAGAAAGATGTGGCAGCCCTGGAAACTCCAGTGGACAGCTCTACTCTGTCCTCTAGGGTCGATAACTGACTCCATGGCAATGGGTCTGGTGTTTGTCAAGAAGCAACTCCAGTAAAACTCAGTCACAAAATCTTACTAATCCTGTCACCAGAGGTAGAGCCAAAATTTTATCTTTGGGAACTCTTTATGTTCAGCTGTAGGACTAGCAATGGACTGACAACTCAGAAAATTTGAGGTACAGTATCAACTCTGTTCTTGTATTAGTTCTGCTGATGATCAAATCATTTAACCTCTCTAGGCCTCACTTTCCCTAATGTATAAAAACTGAGAGTTAATAGAAAATCTACTGATTTATTGACATGCCTCTGAGAGATTAAGAGGGGAGGAGAAAAATTCTTGGAATAGGAAAAAGAAAAATTAAATGACACAAATGAGAAACTGAATGTCAGTTTCTAGCAATTCCAATTATAAAGAGAGGTGACTTCAATTACTCAGCACTACCTAGACAAAATAGTATTTATTGTTTTGTCTCTTTATTGGGGAACGGGGAGGTATAGGTACAAAGCAGTATGAAGGATAAAACATACTGTTTTTCCTAAACTAAGAAAAGAACAAAGAAAAAAATTCATATACATATACTAAAAAAATTGAAGATACAAAATCTATTAGATTCTATGTAAATTAAATTGTAAATCAATATTCAGGAAGACAGGGATTAGCTCTATAAAATCAAGTTTAAAATGAATACTTACTTAACCCCAATTATTTGGACATCAAGTTCCTTAGCACATTCCAAGAGATGCCTACAGTTCTTCAAAGTAGTACCAAACTTCATGTTACCCTCTTCGCCTCCAACAATATCTTCCGTTGCAATATGTAGTAAGACCCTAAGAGAAGGGGAAGATGATTGGGGCAGAGTTGGTTTACATCATCATCAGCACATGTGAAGCCTGAAGATTGTAGAACTGTGTTGATTATGTTGCTCCCAATCCAGCGACGGATGTATCAAGTGAACCTAATGAAAAACAATCCTGTATAGAGAAAAAACTAGCAATTAGGGCCTAAAGCATGATGCTCACAAGGATGGGAATTTGGAAAATGAAGCAAGTTAAGACTCTGTTGCAGCAGCAAGAGTCAGTTGGGCTCTGTAACGAAAGATGACATTACTTTCAAATGAAGTCCATCAGTTAATGACTCCTCCTAGAAAGACTAAATTGAATAGCAATGCCACCATTATCTTTCAATGAAAATATCAGGGCTTTAAAAGTCTTCAAATTTCCCAAAATTGTTCTACCTAACTATCCTTCTGCCACTTAGTATCTTACATCCAGCAGGCTTCCAACTAAAAACAAAATTGGGAAGCTGTGGGTGATAACGGGCTAAATAAATAGCAGCCTCGTTCTAGACTACAGATTCAAATCCATTTGGTACCTCCTTCTAAACCAGGAAAACCAAGGCTAAAGGCAGGAGTCCTTTAAATAATTACACATCACTAAAAACTGCAAACATACAAATGCTGATTTCTTTAAAAAACTGTTTCCCCAAGAAGTCTTGATGAATGACTGATGATCAGATGGTAAGTATGATAAAAGCAAAAATTATGCTACCCAGAAGTAGAATCACCTCTTTAAAGAACATGTCACTCAGCTGACAAACTAACACAGTTGTTAAGTGATGCTGAGTCAACCCATAGCATACCCCACGTGATACAGTAGGCTGTCCCACAGTGTTTCTAGGCTGTAATTTTTATGGGAGATCACCAGGTATTTTCCTATGGGAGCAGCTAATTGCTTTGAACCACCAAACTTCTGGTTAGCAGCCAAGAGCACTTAACTGTTGCCCCAAAACCAGATATTGTCTTCAAAAAATCAACAATAGGAACGTTTCTTTAGAACAGACAAGTGGTTTTTTACAATTTTCCAACAAAGGCCTTTATCCAAAGGTTTTCCAGGTAATCAAATCTGTTAAGATATTTTTCTATGAGCATGATTAGCAAAGTCAATAAAATTATAGATATTCTAGGAAAACATGGGTATGATACATATTTTCAGGAACACAAGAGGTAATTAAACAATTTTGTACTGATACAATATACTTTTAAGTATATTCAAAAGGCCTCTTGACATACCGGTTTATGACATCATTGATTTCTGCCTTAAATTTTTTTGCATATAAAAGAAAACATTAGAAGTTATCAACAACACAAACCAAAAAACCGTATCTTGGGATGTGTGCAGGTGCAAGTAAAAATTTCTTAATTTTCACTTGAGTGAGAAAAAAAGTTTCATTCATTTGTCCTCAAAGAAATATGTGGACCTTAAAGAAAGAAATCCCTCCAATCTTACAAGCTGGACGTCTAAGACACTGTCACTAAGAACCACTCTAGAACTATCTGTAGCCATCTATGGCCAAGAACGATTGGCCAAGCTAGGCAAAAACAAACAAAGCTAATCTGTTCCCAATATGCCACACAACTAAGAGAGTTAATATAGTTGTGGCCCTAAATTGATACCATACTACTTTCTTCCCTTAACTAAAGATTACACGATTATCTGAAACTATCTTTATCTCATCCGAAGTAGAAAACCAAGAAAATGCTATTGGCGTTTTCCATGTTGTTGTTATTGTTGTTATGTGCCGTCAAGTCAGACCTGACTCACAGCGAACCCTCCTTGGGTTTCCGAGGCAGTATCACTATGGAAGTAGATCGCTCCATCTTCCTTCCAAGGAGTGGCTGGTGGGTTTGAACCTCCAGCCTTCTGGTTAGCAGTCAAGTGCCTTAGGCACTACGCTACCAGAGTTCCTAGCGTTTTCCATATAGGAGCTTATTTAAATAAGACAACGTACCACTGCCCTATCATAAGTGCCCCTTCTCCCCAGATGAAAGACAAACCCAACCTAACATAATATTCTTATGTGCCCGTTTTTATACTTACTTGGCATTTGGATGATTACGTGCAATTTTCTTCAATTCAATATCATTGTCACATGTCATGATATTCACACCAACTTTTGCTGCATACTTTATCTGAGACACTTGCTTGCATGGACTTATATAAATAATATTTTCTGGAGATACACCCAATTCTTGCACTAAAACCATTTCATTCTGTGAAAAAATTTTTAAAGGTATCATCTATCAGGGAAAATTTCCATTATTTTTCATCAGTTTTGGCATATAAATTTATTTTTTTTATATAATGTCACATGTCATATTCTTATAATGCTTACTACTCCAGTAAAAACCTTACCAGACCTTTAAAAAGACAGCATTATCAACAGTGAAAGCTCCTAGTTTAGAACATTAATGCAATAATGGAAGTAACTTGGTCTAGTTAGCTCTATTGTAAGAATGAGGACCAACTAAAGGTGCTGAATAAAGACACATATTTTCTAAGTTTCATCTCATTGGAACTTTCATTAGCATACTTGAAAAATTTATAAATTTATACTATTACGATTCTAAATTTAAATACTTAAACACTTCCATCAAAAAGTCTTTTTTTTTTTTTTTTTAGAGTTATATCCCTACTGTTGTGGATAACAGACAGTTCAGTTAAAATTTGCGGTTTAGTATTTAAAAAAAAAAAAAGTGAAGAAAAACACTTACTTTACTGGAACAAGCAAACCCAGTTCCAAGAGCTGCCAGAATCTCAAGCACTGCTGGAGTGGAGTTGCACTTCACCGTGTAGAATGGCTTTATCTGAGCCACCACATTCTGCCACTGACTATGCTTCTTCACAATCTTCCCAAGATCTCCCACAAAAAATGCATTTTTTCCTGTCTATTATGGTCATAAAAAATAGGAACATCAAAGAATCACTGAAAATAAGAGTATCCGAACTAAATAAAGAATCCCTCTTTCCTTCACAAACGAGACATGTACACGTGTGTACACTGTGAGGCATGACCACATTTAAAGTTTGCTGGAGTAATCAAGGAAGATCCACTAAGCACTGAACAAGAATTTTAAACGCATTTGTTCTTTCTTTCTAAACTTCACTTTTTCCCACACTCTACATATTCTTAAAATATTTTCTCCTCAAAACAAAGAAACAAAAGTCAATTACTGAGACTTGTTTTATGTGAGAACCAATTACTTCAATTTTACTTTCTGGTAATAGTGAGACCGAGAACCTTCCATCCTCCCGGCCACTATTTAAAACACAGACCTACTTTAGCAGTGCAGGATGTTAACTTTCTAATACAGTGAGTAGAATCAGGAACGATAAACCAAACAAGCTATATGTCTCTATTATATATTGCACCTAAAGACAAAGTGGTAAAACAAGAGAGGAACTTCACTGGGAACTCATTAGGAATTTTTAAGAAGATAAAGTTGGTGATCCGTGTGCAGTGTAGCAAAGTAAAATTAACCAGTGTGCCACCAAAGCTTCTTTAAATAAAATAGAGCACACCAAATGTCAGATAAACCTTAGTAAGAATCGTCTTCCCTCTGAAGAAATTTATTTTAATTAGGGGTTTAGGAATAGGTGTGTAATGATTTTAAAGGTATGGGTATTCTAAGATCAGAGAAGTAACTTTGTATGCTGGTCAGAGCGTAAGTTACTCAATGTTAGAGGGCACACAAAATCATCTTATTTAGCAACTACAACACTGAAATAGTGTTTGAAAAACAAGGAAGAATATTTGAAAATGATGCATTAAATGGAACATCAGTAGAGGAGAGACATGATTGGAAATTATGGGTTGTGTGTGGCAGGTTCAGGAGTTATCAACCCTTGCAAAAGACACCAGTTTTTTTTTTTTTTTTTTTACTCCTTTTACATGTGAACTCTTGTATGGAAGATCAATTTGCTCTGTAAACTTTCACCCAAATCACAATTTAAAAAAAGAAAAAAAGGAGCTCTGGTGCCATAGTGGATAAGGCATTTGGCTGCTAGTCAGGTCAGCAGTTTAAACCTACCAGTCTTATCTTAAGCAAGTTTAAGTCTTGAAAATTCTCAGTAGGCAATGGAAAACCATTTAATTTGGTGGGCAAGGAAGCTCTGAATTGAATGATTATTGAACAAGATTAAGCAGGCTTAGGAAAAACAGAACAGAAAAAGTAGTAGAGGGAATGGAAAGGGGATATTATGGAACAAAGACCACCAAGACCCTGGAGGACAAAGGTATACAAACAAAAAGTGGACTAACACGGGGGGAAAAGAAAAACAGAAGCAATCACCCTTGAGCCATTCAATTAGATGAGACTACCAGAGGAGAGAACACAGTTGAGAGTTAATTCTCATTAAATGTTACTAAACGTTAAAAAGACACTTAGAATGTGGGACAAGCAAGGGGATGAAAATATTGTTTCAAACCTCGTATGTCACCTAGGAGAAGAGTGCCGCCAAAGTCAGAAGAGTTACAATTTTTAAGCGACTAAGACAAAGATCACCATACTTTGAACAGGATTCTTGGCGACATAAGAGAATTAACTGTAGAGTGGCTTGGCAGGAATAGGTTTAAGTGATGTGACAAGTGAATGTCAGTATGTTTTTAACAAGTCTGATGGCAGAGGGAGAGGGATTTTGCTGGAGGGAGGAAGATCTGAGCACCTTGGTAACCTGAAAGTTAAGACAAAGTGTCTTTCTTGGTAGCCCATTACTGAACACCAGTAACATGAAAATAATTGTTCAACAAATTTGGGAAATATGAGACTAAAAGAAAAGAGTTCCAATAAAGAAACATAAACTACCAGTAACAAACAAAAATAATTCTGTAAGTAAGCCTAAAATAAATATGACCTTATAGAAGTTGATTCCTGGGGCAGTTTTAACATATGTAATTTAGTATATAATCTTGAATAAGCATACACAAGCAAGATTATTTGAAGTTAAATAAAAATCCACTGAAGAACCCAGTTGAGAAAAGTGAATGAGAAGCCATGCATCAGGAAGGTAGTGACAAAGATCAAGAAAACAAACAGAACTTAAAAGAGCAGGTGCTAAAAGCTGATAGTAGAAAAGGGACTTCTAAGGAAGTTTTTGTTTTTTGAAAAATGTGGGCTAGAATGAAATCTCATCACCACTGAGGGAACTAGAAGGAGGGCAAAGTCAGGTAAGAAAACCTGGAGCATTAACAACTGAGCCAACTATTTTTTTTTTTAATCAGATTTAACTTTTTTGGGGGAAATAAATTAAAAGGCTTTAGAAGATGATAAACATTATCTGAGAAATGTGAAATAGCACACTTACCAGGGTATGTTCATTAACATAGTTATCAATAACATTTCCAAGGTTTGTTCCTTCATCCAACAGGCCAACGGAGTAGTTTGCATCATCGATAAATCCTTTCATCTCAGCCGTATTCCACAAAGCCGAAAGTCATAAACCAAGAAAAACAAGAGACGGGCCACCAAGCCTTATGTCTGGGTCCTTAGAATATGCAACAAACTGTCAAAAACAGAAGTTCATCAAAGGCTGTATTATTTCACTAGTTAATGTATGAGTTGTCAATGAAGTGTGCTGGGTGCCTAATTTAGTAAGGGATTTGTGCAATCAATTTCAGAAACATTGAGTCATTAATATCCTTTAATGCCCATTTAAAAGAGCAATTAAATGCATCTTTTATATATTTAAAAACAAATCACTATAATGTTTTTGAGAAGGTAACCATATGTGTACTATATACCATATATGGTTCATCTTAGGGTTGCAGTTCCAGTCTGTATTATTCATATTTTGTTTTGTGCTTATTTTATAACATATACACTTTTACTCCTTTTATATAAAGCAAGCTAGTGAAATCATTATCTGTAGCCAAGAAACAAAAACACGACGAGTCTGAACTTGAGTATGTTGCCAGACCCACCACATAGTACTACGAGGTCAACTGCAGAAAAATGTCTTTAAATATAATTTTAAAAAACAGTTCTTTTGTCTTCAAGAAAAAGTAGGTGAAAGCTCCCCAAGTTAATGGATAGGGATGGGAGAGGCAGCTTTATGGGACAAGCTACAGTTTTGATAAAGACTGCCTAGGTCTTACACCTCAAGAGAATGGTATACTAGCTACTTCAAGTTAGCAATGCAGGTTCTCATGAGGTGACTTGATTTGGGGAGTCAGAAGACCTGGTCCTGGGTATGTCGTACAGTATCTATGCAATCCTAGAAGTCAGTTTCTCTAAACCTCATTTCACTTCTTCAAAAGATTGTTTTGTTTTAAATTATATAGCACATAAATAAAAACATTTGTTCATATAATCAGCCACACAATGTCAGCTTGCAACAGTTAAAATTCAGTTGCCAACTGCCAGAAACACAAAAATGCCATTATAATTGGAAACTGGTTATAAGTTAGGTACCCTCTATCTCCTGAACCAGTTATGAAAAACTGAGTTTTTAAAGGCATCAGGCCTTTTAATAACAAGATCCAACCATTCTCCATTGATTCATAAGTTAGTAAAATAAACCCCCCCTCCCCCTGATCACTACACAGTGGGTGTATGATACACAGATTTATCACTGAAATGCAGAATTATATTCTTTGCTGAGTTTCACTGGTTCATTGGTTACTTTAGGGAATGATCTTTAAAATAGGCTAATAATCAATGGTCAGCCAAATACTACTAAAAAAAACCCAACCAAACTCACTGCCGTGGAGTGGGATCCAACTCATAGCAACCTCTCCTTGGGTTTCCAAGGTAATACCTCTATGAAACTAGACTGCCCAACCTTCCTTCTGAGGAGTGGCTGGTGGGCTTGAACCGCCAGCCTTCTGGTTAGCAGCCAAATGCCCTAGGCACTAAGCCACCAGAGCTCCCTACTAGCAGTACTATTTAACAGGCAATTTATGCTTAAAAACTCACAAAATGAATTAGGAAGGTATCCTATATTGCTAAAATAAAATTACAGCATTTCATCTAATGTCTTCCTCAACTTCATCTACCACAAGGGCATTATCTGATACTTATTTCAGAACCAAACCTCTGCCTGCCACATTAATACATGTACTACTCCTCATGTTTTGTCATGGTAAAGTGCTAAGACCAGGTCGTTATGTGAAAATCAGAATTATTTAAAAATGGAGGATGACCAGCATCGTTACATAATTGTCAAATTACATTACATAACTGCCAGACCACTGAGAATCACAGCCCAATCAAGTTAACACATAACTTTAACCAGCACAGCCAGCATCACTCCCCTCCATGTTCATTATTGCCAGGTATATGTTGTTACTGTGGCCAAATAGCTGGATAGTAAAATTTTCACTACTGTTGTAAACACAAATTACCAGATAACGAAAGATAGAGGATAAGTGAGGTGTAGGTGTAATTAATGGGAATAGAACAATTGTCTTGACAAATTATTTTATAACTTGCACAGCCTTTTCTGTGTCTCTGGTAGCCCCCCATCCCCAAATGTTCCATGCTATATATAGTTCACCTTGGATAATGGCCCTCAAAGTATCAATTTTTTTGGTTGCACCAAAACTAAGTTGTCAATAAGCTAGTATTAGCCAGACTTCATGAAATACAGATATTTAGTTTTAACTTTAAAAAAACACTTCCCCAAGAAGCCAACTACATTCAATTCAGCTTAACAAAACTTTCATATTACGGTGGAAACTGGAGAGGAGCTGACTTAGGATTATCTGTGAGACACAATGCTTACGCAGTAAAGTCAAATTCCACCCTGAAAATTCTCTACAAGTTCTTATACCCGGACTAATGTAAATACTGCCCAGAAACCACCATTATAGGCTTGAGGTTACATATTTATTTTAAACAATGTAACTTCAACTAGAAAATCAATTTTAGGGGATATTCAACTGGGCACTAAGAGCAGTAGAAAAGATCAAAAGAGACTCATTCAAAAACACAAATGCAAAGATAAACATGAGTATGGTGAGAACTTCCTATTAAGTTTAGTATCACAAAACACCTTTCACTTATTCTATTAACAAGATGGAAAAAAAATACAGTTGGTTCAGGAGTCTCCTACGTATATTCCATTACATATGTAGTGTTTACTTAGGAGCCTTGAGTTATCTATCACATGCGGATCACCACAGGCCAACTGCTGCCACAATATAAAACGTCTACTTTTAAAAAGTCAGGACATGAAAAGCCTCAATTTCCTCTAACTATACAAAGAAAGGGCAATCTTCTCCAGTACCTAGGAAAACATCAGGTCCATCTGACCCAGTCTTACCTGCTGAATGCTCACATTCTTGTTTTTTCTAGAGTATTGTGGTCATAGGGATAAAGGTATTCCCCAGCTATTTTTAACTTTCACTGCCTGCTAAACTAGCTCAAATCTAAGAGCAAACATTTTTCTAACTGCATGTGACAGTTCTAAGTACTTTGTCTATACAATATTCATTCTCTTAACCATTGAAACCACAATCCTCATTTTACAGATGAAGACAAAGGGCACAGGACAACCACACTGGTCACACAGCAAATAAATGACTCACACCAAAGGAGTCTAGTTCTAGAGATACTGATCAAACGTAAAATGAAAAACCTGCTTCCCTAGCACCCTAATGCCCGATGAACACAGGATTCCTTTATTAGAAATCTAACATAGCTCTCTCAATCTCTTTAATAAACCTTTATTACATCCCTGTCATCAAAAAATCATCTCAGACATGGATACTCCCATAGTTGGTGATAAACTCTCCCGCCATATGGTATAGAAATCGCCTATCATGCTGACCCACAGCCTTTTCACTTTTCTTCCGAAAAGTCTTAATTTTGCATGTAGTACTTGCTGTTCCGGCTCCCTTTTGCCCAATTCTGACATGTAGATCCCAAATTCGCATTTTTCTTTTTTATTGAGAGCTTACATGCAATATGTATCCATTCTGATAAATTTATATACTTGTACACCCACCACTACCACAAGTAAAGAAAAAAGTTGCTATTCAGCCAATTCTGACTCATGGTGACCCCATGTGTGTCAGAATAGAACTTTTTTTTTTTTTTTTTCCAGCGGCTGACTTTTCTGAACTAGATCAGCCAGGCTTTCTTCAGGGACCTCTGGGTAGACTCAAACTCCCAACCTTTCCATTCCCTGCAGAGCACATAACTGTAATTACACCACCCAGAGACTTTATCAGTGCCATAAAGATACTAATATAAAACTTTCCCATCTCCCCAAAGTTCCTCACATCCCTCTTTTGCAGACACTACCATCCCACTCCAGACAACCAGTGACCTCCTTTCTATCGCTATAAAAACAAATCCACTGCCACTGACTCAGAGTGACCCTCAATGGGTTTTCAAGGCAGCAAATCTTTATGGTAGTAGATTGCCCCATCTTCCTTCCATGGAGCAGGTGGTAGATTTGAACCGCCAACCCTCTGGTGAGCAGTCAAATGCCTTAGGCACTGTACCATCAGAGCTCCTTTATCACTACAGGTTTTCAAAATAATTTTAAACATCAACTAAAGAACAAACTAAAATGGTTGCACATAATGGTATTACCAGTATGAATTAAAACATTGGAAAGCATGCTCTGCACTAAAGGGATGATACAATGCTTGTGAAGAGGCTATTTATCTTTGAAATGGAGCTTTCACTTTACAAGTAATTTCAGGGTTGTTAAGCAACCACTGACTGACAAAAGTTAAGGACCTAACACATTTGAAAACCACTAAAACAGGGAGCTCTGGTAGCATAGTGCCTAAGGCACTTGACTGCTAACCAGAAGGCTAGAGGTTTAAACCCACCAGCCACTCCTTGGAAGGTAGGTTGGGCAATCTACCTCTGTAGTGGCACCGCCTCGGAAACCCAAGGAGGAGTTGCTATGAATCGGGTCTGACTCGATGGCAAACAACCACCACCAAAAAAAAACAGGTACTGTTTCATGACACTGAGCATTACAACAGTTTATCAAAACCAGCACTAATGAAGCCTATGTATAAAAGATGATGATGTGAAGGTAACTTTACTAAGCCTTCAAAAATTTTTATTCATACACTTAGAAAGTAAGCATTGATCTTTTCAGATGCTCATTAAATGCCTTGAGAATGTCATTGATTCCTAATCCAGAGAATGTTCAAAAACAGATGGCCAAAGGCCCTCACAAGTCTATGATTGGGGGGTATTTTTAAATTTGAGTGTAGTGGTGTGGTAAGGAACTCCTTGAAGTGTTTTGAAAATGAAGGTACAATTTTCACATTCTTAAAAGGAGCCTATAACTTCAATAAACACATGAACCTCATGTAAATGCAAAGCTCAACTATCAGTTACTATTAAAAGCTAAAGACCATGTCCAGAAAGCACTATGTAATCCCTCAAAAGAACCTGCAAAACATCTTTAGGAGACAGGTTTTCTAACACAATTTTAGCTAAGAAAGCCTTAGAATAAAAGCATCACTTGGAAGCCTAATATTTCCAACAAAATATTGAAAAGGGATAGTAATTCAGTGAATGAAGTTGAGCTGTGAGATGAGTCTTTCCCACTTCCAATACTGTACTCCAATCTCACAGAAGGTGTCCTAAAAAAGCAGTTCAAAATCATACCTCAAGGAGTCTTTCAATTTTCTTAACACCTTAGTAAAAATACTTTATAGCACATCTGTCACAGAAAGGGAAGTTTATGCTTTGAAATTTCTGCCTTATCTTTTAAGAGGCATTAAAGTGGTATAATGTCTAAGGCATTTCACTGCTAATCAAAAGGCTGGTGGTTCAAACCTATCAGCCACCACTCCTTGGAAGGAAAGTTGGGCAATCTACTGCCATAATAATACCGCCTCAGAAACCCAAGAAGTCGCTATGAGTAGAATCTGACTCAATGGCAGTGAGTTTAGTTTTTTCTGGCTTAAAGTTAGTGATGACATGTTAATGTTAAACCAAGCATCTGTGACACATTTCCAGAATGTTCTAGGAAACCAACATGAAGTATGGGCATGGACTAAGCAGAGTCTATATTCATACTGTATGCCACACAGAGACACAGCACATTCACAGACACACAGAACCTCTCCACTAAGAATGCAGACTCAAACCCAGGTGAGGGTTAACCTCTCCAGTGCTCCAATCCTGGGCAGCAATAATACACACCACACTGACAGGGCAGCATTTTTTACGCCTTATATAAATCAGAAATGGGACTGACTTACTGGCCCCAACACACTATGGACCACTATATGCTATACTCTAGTGCTAGTGGACATCGAGTTATTTATATTAAGCTTACAGCATAATGTCATATTAAAATCTGCCGTTAAGTCATTCCAGGGTTTTGAACTGGAACTTGGCTCCAGCTTGGCTCAGTCACAACTGATGAAGCAACACTGGCACAGACCTGAATTTTTTAATGTGGGTGAACCAGAAAGGGAAAAGTTATGGGTCGAAGCCCTGTTAGAAAAGGGCAGTGTGCACATTCCCTGACCACCAAATCTCTTGACTGGCTGAGTCAAAAACAACGGTGTATAGTGCTTGCTTTGGCAGCATATATACTAAAACTGGAATAAAAGAGAGGTTAGCACGGCCCCTAGGCAATAACCCAACATCATGCATCAGGCTTGTGAAAAGGCTCACTATGCCTCTTCCCAGTCTCCCATTCCAAGGCTTTGACCTATAATTTTTCCTGTTCAGTTAGGGGTGTGTACGACCTACATTTAAAAAAGTCAAGCCTGTGCTGGTTTTGCATCACTGGTCATGACTGAACCGATTTGAAGCCCTGGTCATTCCAATCCCATGTATGCAGAGTAGAATTACACTCCACAGGGGTGGGTTTTCATGGCTATAACTATTTTTTGGAAGCAGTTCACCAGGCCTTACTTCTGAGGTGGGTCTGAACCATCAACCTTCCAGTTAGTAAACCAGCACTTAACCATTTGCACCACCCTATGCAAATCTTAGATCAGAATTATTTTAACAAAAGCTACGGTGCTTATCAACAGACCCTAGGATGTATTGTCATCTCACAAGAGTCTATGCTATTTTCACAACAAACATCAATAAACGGTAAGAAAGAAAGCTCAGTTTATTTTTGTATAATAAAGATGCTGTAATCACAGTAATTTTATACTTCCTCTTGGACTTCTCAGCTAGGAAGAAAAGTGTAACAGTCCTTATTTACATCTTCATATCAGTATTGGTTTCTTTTTTTTAATACATTTCTCATGAGAGCTGCCAAAAAAACAAGTCTCCAAAGAACCGAGCACTGCTCCCTGGAGCCTGTCATGAGGCTGGTGAGTCCTCATGTTCAGCGAGAAGGTGGCTCCGAGAACAGTGGTTGCAGCAGTTGCGCACTTGTCTTGTTCCACACCTGCTACAAAGGCTTCTACAGGTGATTGTACTTCAGGAGAAACTGATACATCTCTCAAATAATCACAAGATAATTCTGGCAGCAACAGCCCACTTGACACCAAGCTGGATGAATATGGGTCTTGGATTTCTGAAGTGAAGACCTCCCTGGAAGTAGAACAGGGAGAGCTGAAAGGTTGAGAGCACTGTTTCAGAGATACCTAAGCAGGAAACCCAACCTTAATACATTATAACGTACTTTTCCAGAAGGATTTCTACTCATTAAAAATGAGAACTTCAGATAGTTAGAAATCTACACTAATACAGTTACTCTAAAGATGGTCTAACAAGGGCACTTCTATCTTAACCCCATGACCACTTTTATTTTTACATAGACATTTGATGACTTAGCACTCAGCCTGCAGTTTTTAAAACTACACCCAATGCTGCCAAAGTCATGTCTGTATTCTATTTCCTAAGGAAAATGTTACTTACCACACAGAACACCTTGAGAAATAACTGACCAGAAAAGCACAAGAGGCTTCCTTCTAAAGAAAGATTTTGGTACTATGTGAGGCCTGGAGCATGTCTGAACTACTAAAAAAACAAGGTTCCAAGATGCTACATACCAGAACTAGCAGATAGGAAATGCCAAAAAATTGGGCGGCATTCATAAGACCATATAAACTTTTGCCCTACTGGACCAAAAATAAGGAAAGATCACAACAGCCTGAATCCTCAGGCTTATCAAGGCAAGGCTTGCTTCACAAATGACAGCCAACAGGCAAGTAATAAACACCCTTAAGATATTCATTTTTCAGGTGATGAGGCTCGGGGGAGGGTAAAAAAGACAAGTAATCACACTACTTCAAACTTCTAGAGGAAGAACACTGAAAATGACTGCTGAAACCAAACAACCCACTGCCACTGAGTTGATTCTGACTCACAGTGACTACAGGACAGAGTAGAACTGCCCCATAGGGCTTCCCAGGCTATACATCTTTAGGGAAGCAGATTACCCCATCCTTCTCCCACAGAGCCAAGCTTTTTGTTAGCAGCCCAATGCTTTAACCACAGCACCATCAGAGCTGAAGAACTGTTAAGACAAGAACAAGAATAAATATTTAAGTGGGGAAAAAAAAATCAGCCCAACAGCCAAGTTTTAAGTGCCTGAGTAAGGCTGCCAATTTCATGACTCACAAGAAATACTAAAAAATATCTCAATGAGAAATATATATGATTTTCACAGCAATATACTTTTCACATGGAAACTGTATGATTAGGCTCTGTGATACTCATTAGCAGAGTTTCAAGATGGAATTTTTTTTCTGGAGAAAGTATGTGTGCCTGCATACAAGTGAAACACCTCAATCTCTTCTGGTAACTAAGATGTGTATTACTCACTGCCACTCAATCGTTTCGAACTTACAGCAACCCTATAGGCCATGACAGAACTGCCCATAGGATTTCTAAGGCTGAAATCTTGACGGGAGCAGATTGCCACGCCACATCTTACGCCCACACAGCATCTGCTAGGTTCAAAATGCCAACCTTTTAGTTGAGCAATTAGCCACTGCTGCCACCAGGGTTCCTTCAGATGTATAATATGAAAGATAATTACTAAAAAAAAACATGAATATAACTGTATTGATTTCAAGTTTTGTACCTTTCTTGGTTTCAATACAGCATAGAGACTCACCCTTTAATGCAATTAATTAATTAATGCAATTAATCAGTATTTTGTTTGGATTCTTCCCACTCCTCGTTAGGAGAAAGATTCTTACCTGTTCAAATCTCCTAGGTACTTGGCCCCTGGGGGGGGGCGTGGTGTGGCGGGGGTTTAGAGGAAGATGTGTCTCCTCTAGAATAAGCTTGTTTAGTCTTTTTTTATGCTTCTACGTATTTTTCATCAGTGTGGCTTTCTAGGGCGTCCCAGGCTTTATGAAAGCATCTTTCTCCACAGCAGAAAGATGGCTTTACTGTCTTTGAACTGTAAATGAAAATTACTTTTTCTGTGACTTCTTTTGCACAATTACAGTTTATCCACACTGATGGATATAACTAGAGTCCTTTCATTGCTGCGTAGTAGTCTACATTTATCTAATCGGACCTCCAGGTTTTTTTTTTTTTTTTTTTTCTTTTTATGCATTCTTTATTTATAATTCTTTGCTTTTATGTATGCAACCAAGGGCAGTACTATTCAAACTGTAGTCTCTAAACTAGCTGGTCCAGAAGTTAAGAAGCATGTATGCCAGGATCACTGCTTAGACTAGCTGTGTTTTTTTTTTTAGTAACAAGACTTTACCAATGAAGCAAGCACTGTGTTGCTTCACATTCTGGCACCTATCTTGCTGACTGGAAGCTTGGGTAGCATTGCTTTAGGCACCTGAGTCTAGGGCACACATCTTGGAGGGGAACTGTTAGGCTGTTGATGCCAAATGTTTTCCAAGTTTTTTGCTGATTTTTCTATTGGTTTCACTTTTTCTTACTGACTTGTAGTTCTTCAGAATTTGGACAGCGCACATGTCCCATTCTGAGGATTTATTAGTGGTTTGTTTTGTTATGGTGTTCATGTTAACATATTAGGATACCCAATCCCACTTTTGGTAATGCTTTATAGACAGGTATAACAAATATAACACTGTGAACCTAGATGATGAGATAAGATGATACTGTATTTATTTAGCACTCTTTGTAATCTGGGTATCACAGAAGATCTTTTCAGTAAAGAGTAAGAAAACAGATCAAAGTTAATAATCTAGGAGGCCACGGTTCTACAGTCATATATTCAAAAAGCTATTATCAATTTCAGTCTGCATAAGCAGACTGAAAGAGATATATCCAAATTAGACAAAGAATTCAACTAGAAAAGTGTGGTAGTTCAGTTTGTGTGTCAACTTGGCTAGTCTGTTTGAGTGGCTGGGCAGCTGGATATAGTATTCCCCACGATGTGACTGGTAATCAACTCCATGGTGGAATCTACTGGGAGCAGCTGAGTAGCTGCCTTTGGGTACGTGGTCTGCTTCCTGTATATAAGAACAGCTTTGGGAATGGTCTCTAGCTTACGGCACACTTGGACCCTGCACATAGCCGTGTCGTTGTTCAGCACCCTGCCATGCTCTGCTGACTTGGGGACTTACAATGGACTTAAATTAATGGCTTGCTGTGTGGTTTGGTAACACAGGGACTATGCCTTTTTACTTGTCAACCTTGGGCTTGGCAGCCTCAGCAGCCAGCAGCTGTCTGAGTGAAGAAAAGCCTTTAGCTTCAGTGGGCCAGGAGCTGGAGGCAGAGCTGAAGCCCTAGGCTGAGGGGCTTTCAACCAGCCCCTAGAGCTTGGCACTCTGAACTTGGACTTTAAGCCTCCAAATTGTAAGAATAAACTCATGTTTATTAAGGCCATCCCGTTTGTGGTATATTCTTGTCAGAGTGGCACTAGGTAACTAGAACAAATAGATAACTCAAAAGTTCTTACAGTAAAGCAACAGGTTTTATTAGACAAACTTTAAGAGAAAGAACAGAGAGCAACTGTATAATTTGTCTGGTTCTTATCAATAGAAGATGATTATGATCAATGCTGCTCACATTCAACACTATTCTAGAACAGTGTTGTCCAACAGAACATGCCAGTGATGGAAATGTTCTTTATCTTTGCTGGCCAAAAACAACAGCCACTAGCCACATATAGCTCAGGAGGACTTAAACTATGGCTTATGCAACTGAGGAAAATAACTTTTAAATTTAAATTAGTTGTAATTAAATTTCAATTGCAACCTGGCTAGTGGCTACCACACTGAACAGAGCAGTTCTAGAGGATGCCATTTTTCCTAAGGAATGTTACATTCATAGGGATAAGTCCACATTTATCCTGATGATGGAAAAAAAACCATTATTCCCAAATGACACCTGGTTTAACGTGTTGGTGTTGTTGTCAAGTGCACTTTCAGCTCATGATGACCCCATATGAATGGACAGAAATGCCCTACAAGATTTTCTTGGCTGTAATCTTCTTGGGAGCAGATAGCTAAGTCTTTCTCCCACAGAGCCAATGGAAAGGCTCAAAGCACCAACCTTTTATTTAGCAACTGATCACTTAACCACTGTGCCACCAAGGCTCTTTACAACAAAGATCAATTCACAAGTTGATAAAGCTGGACAGCAAAGGAACAAAGGTAATAGAACTCCACAACAAATGAGCCCTGAAGAGAGACTTGAAATGTATACTTACATAAGAGAATGAAGAAAAGGTAAAATATTAGCGCACAGCAACCCAAAAGGGTTTTTGCCTTGGCTTCTGCTGCAAGTCAGTTAGTTAGAGGCATTTAAAGTAGTGATTCCCTCAGACTCCTGATGGCTGGCTATGGCCTTGCGCAGGTCGAAACTGACTAGCCTAATTCTTGTGTAATAATAGTATGTTGTACAAATATTTTCTATCTGTGCCATAATGTGAAGAACATTGGATTAGAGAAAGGGATGGCTAAATCTCTGCTTCAGTTGGCCTGTAACAAATTGCTTCTGATTACATGGGCATGGATGACTCTGGAATGAAGGTGAAGTACAAAATTAATCTGTTTACTGGACCAAAATTATTTCCACTACTTCACACAAGCAGTGAATCACGATTAAGTACTATTTTATGTATACCAAGGGGATATACATACTTTTTAAACGAGCCCTGGTGGCACAATAGTTAAGCACTCAGCTAGTAACTGAAAGGGCACAGCTCAAATACACCTAGTGTTTCCACAGGAGCAAAGATGTGCTCCTGTAAAGATTACAGTCTAAGAAACCCTATGGTGCAGTTCTACTCTGCCCTGTCAGATGCTATCAGTTGGAATCAATTTGAAAGCACTCAACAACTGGACCTTTCCTGTGTGTGAGACCTTCACTTAGAACAGCTCATCTGAACAATAGTTGGACTCCAAAAGCAGCCTCCTACTTATTTAGGTTTTACAGTTTACAAGCTTTTTCAAAGATACACAATACTTACATACAGATCAGTAGTCACTGTTAATTCTCTAACCTCAACTATTCACTACCTAGCCTTCAGTAAACACAGTAACTATTTGTTTTGCACTGCTTTCTCATCTTTTTGGTCCTCCTAGAAAGGATTCTAATCTGCCCGAAGAAAGAGTACCATGTCCCGAAACCTTGTTTATCTATTAGCATGCTATTCATTCACAATGAGCTTGTACAGAATTATTTCTACTACACACAAGCAGTGAAGTACCATTAAGCACTATTCTACATATACCAAGGGGATACACATACTTTAAATTTTTCTTCTTCTCCATAACAGATTAACAACCCATCTTTTCTCCTGATAATTAACAATGAAAGATGATAAAAGGAGCATTAACAAATTCACAAAGAATATTTTAATTTTCCCAGTTAAATAATCCTAATTTAGGCAGGACAGGTCTTACTAACAGAACCTGAGTAAAAGTACTAACAACCAACAGATAACAACCAGGTTAAAAATTTAAGTTTTTTTTAAGAATCCATTTAAATGAATTAAATGAATCCCTTTTCCATACTTACATACAATGCAACATTAAAAGGTGTATGTTAAATTAATCCAATCTAACTTCATCAGCAGATCACTAACAAGTAAATGGTTAGAAGAAAAGTTAGTTCTGTGGATTGATTTTTTTTTTAATTATAGTTGGAGCTACTGCTAAAAAATAACTTGAAAACCTAGCCCATTTGAAAAGCTTTACTCTAGCAAAAAGTCCTACTAAAAAAAAAAAAAGCATATAAAACTTTTCCATAATTAGAAGCCTATTTCATTAATCAAAACTTATTTGTATTGAAATTTACGCTATTTCTTTAGTGCTCAAATACTATATTATACATTAAGTATTCTATAAAGTCTTGAAAGAAACTTTTTATGTAAACTTCCAAAATGTCCAGAGTCTCAACAGAATTAAATATCTTAAAATTCAAATAGTTAAGTGATTTAAAAACATTAACCCTAAAGCCAATTCCTGCAACTCACACTACTTGTACCGAAATAGTACTGAGGTGTTTGCTAAACCAAAAACCAAGTTCACTCTGACTCAGAAACCCTATAGGACAAAGGAGAACTGCCTCATAGGGTTCCCCAGGCTGCAAATCTTTATAGCAGCAAACTGCCACATCTTTCTCCCTTGGAGGAGCTGGGGGGTTTGAACTGCCCTTTTGGTTAGCAGTCAAGCACTTTAACCACTTGCAGTTCTTCAACCACCAGACTTCAACTCTAATACTATTATAAAATATTGTTGTTTTGTGTCCCATCGAGTCAACTGCAACTCACAGCAACCCTGTACGACACGAGTAAAAGAGTCCCACAGGGTTTTCTATGCTGCAATCTTCATGGGAGCAGATCAGCAGCTCTTTTCTGTTGTGGAGTTAATGGTAGGCTCAAACCATCAACCTTTCTGTCAGTAGCCAAGTTGCTAAACCAGCACCACCAAAAAAAGTTCATACAGTTACATACATGCTTTGCAATGCTATGTCCTAAGTAACTTCCACAAAGGCCAATGTTTAATTCCTTCAGTGACATATAGTATCTGAGAATAATACATTCCTGGAATTTGAAATTCTCACCTTTTTTATTAACGTGAGTCAACAAGTCTTTGGGGCCAGATTCTGAATTCAGAATTTCTCAGATTTTAGAATGATAATATAAAATATATATTTCACGTTACGTAACAAGCTGCAGGAGATGAGTCAGCACTTTATAACCACAATATTTCTGTAGCAAAATTTAGGAATATTAACACTATATGGGATAAGCTATAAATAGCTTACAATAAGCTTAGATTCAGGTCAAGTTTTTGTTTCCATATGAATTAAAGGCACCGTCAAGTACTGTAATGAAGGAAGTGATAAAAAATTTTTTAGAGTATTTTTGATTTTTGGAATTATATGGATAAAGGATTTATAGACCTGTCTCTGACTCATAGTGATCCTACAGGACAAATGAGAACTGCCTCATAGTGTTTCCTAGGCTGTAATCTCTATGGAAGATCACCAGGCCTTTTTACCCCCACAAAGTCACTGCTTGGTTTGAACCACCAACCTTTCAGTTGAGCAGCCAAACAATTTACTCTTGTCTCCAGGGCTTATAGCAAAATATAAGATACCCATTTCACTTAACATGCATTGTATCTGGGCATAGTAAGGAGTCACTCTGAGAGGTGTCAGAACCTGCAGAATAAATAAATATCCTTAAGTATATTTTATGCACTCCCATCTCCCTAAAAGAGGAGAAAACTATGAAATTCCTGAGTTCCTTAAAATTAGTAATTACACTAAATATATACTAGTTTAAAATGACAAAAGTATTTTTTCTAATCTTTAAATTTGGCAGAATGACTAATATGTCAACTCATTGATATCATTTTTTCAAATCTTTTAGAGGAAACACCATTAAGAAATATCATTATATATAATACAAAGTAAAGCTTCCATTAAAGCAAGAAATTTGAATCAAAAGGCTTATCCTCTAATATGATCTCCTTAAAACAGAAAGCATGTTCTTAAATTTCCATCTTGAAAATCTATTCATCACCATAATGACAAGTAGACTCTAGTCCCAAAAGTTTTAAAATCTCTAAGCTGGTTTGGCAGTTGATGCACTAATCAATTCTCCACAAAATTCAAGAGATAACTGACTTGGTAGTGACATGGAGGCAACAGTGCTTCTCTCTAATATGCATGCAAGCCATCTGAGTCAGATTTAGGTGAGGCTAAGAGTCTTATGTCTGTCTTAGGTGATGCTAATGCTGTTGACCCAATGACCACACTGCATACCAAGCATGACAATACATTTTTTAAAAGAGTGAAACCATTGTACCAATTTAGGGCTAGAGAAATTGTGATTCAAAAAATAAAAAATTTGCTTAAACTCACACAGAAGAAAGCCAATGCGGGAAGCCCTCAACTCAAGTTCAAAAGTTTTAAGTCAGCAGAACTTTCTTTTCCAGAATTCCCCACTATTTAAACTACTTTTCCTTTCTCTTTTAAAAACTGACTCTAAAGTTATAATTTGAAGTAACAACAAATGTGTTTAAAAGGTTTAATATACTGTATCTAATTAGGCAGAAGGAGGCTCTGGTAGCAATAGCGCCTAAGGCACTTGACTGCTAACCAGATGGCTGGGAGTTCAAACCACCAGCCACTCCTCGGGAGGGAGGTTGGGCAATCTACTTCCGCAGTGATACTGCCTCGGAAACCCAAAGAGGGGTCGCTACGCGTCAGGTCCAACTCGACGGCACATAACAAAGACAAGTTAGGTAGACCCAACATTTTTAATTGATTTCTTTACTTCTAATTTATTCCCTCTGGCCAACTTGAAAACATCCAAACCTCAACACCAAAAACCAAATGTCAGTTTCGGCATCAATGTGTATAAATGGTAACTCAATTTTAAAATCAAACCACAAACATCTAGCAGCTTATATTCAAACAGTTTACCTGAAGAATTACATTTCACACAGGAATTCAATGCTAAATTCAAATCCACAAGTATAGCCAACAACTATCCTTGAAAAATCCATTAGGAAGGTGGCATATGGGAGTTAATACATATGTCATCTCTCAGTAAATCCTCTAAAAACAACCAATTCTTCTCATTTGCTTAACATTATAGTTAATTTATGAGACAAAATAAAAACTCCAGAAAAATCACCTTTCCATCTGGCAAGATGGTTACAACGGACAATAGAGAGGGGAAAAGGGGGTGGGGGTTAATGGTGATAGGAAAATCATAGTGATTAAGGATAGGGTTGCACAACTGATTATTATATGCTACCAATAAGTCTTACATCTGTAAAAGTCAGATAGGCAAAAGTTGCGTGACAGATATGCTTACAACAACAAAAATAAATAAAAGAGTAGGTGCTGAGGCTGCTTATGTACAACCAAACCTCTCATGGGATTTGGTTCCTTGGTTTAGAGGTTTAGGATCATGGTTTCATGGGACATCCCAACTAATTAGCCTAATAATATGTTTAGTACAGTTGTTCTACCTCCTAGATCACAGCATTGCTGGGATCTTAAAAGCTTTTAAGTGGCCATCTGAGGCTCAACAATTCTTCTCTACTCCCCTAGAGCAATAGAAGAATGACAATCAGAAATAGGAGGAGGATATGGAATGTGTGGCTAATTGCCTCCAGGCGTAACTGCATCCTTTGCCATGAGACCAGAAGAAGTGGATGATGCCTGGCTACCATTACTGAAAATTTTGACCAAAGATTCCACAGAAGAACTCTGATCAAAAGGGGGGAAATGCAGAACAAAATGCAAATTCTCACGGACTCTAGACTTTCTGGAGCCATGGAAGGTAGATGAACCCACAGAACTACTACCCTGAGATAATTTTTAAACTAGAAATACCTCTGAAGTCTTAAAACTGAACAACAGCTACCCTAGTAAAAAAGATCTGCCCTGAACATTATGCTCTTTTAAGAACTATCTGTACAGAATCAAAGTCACAACAAGACTCAAAAAATCAGATAGGAACCCTAAAGGGCAGTGATTTTATGTTAATGAATGTAGAAACAGTTGAATTGGTGTTATTTTTTTTGTGTATATCCTTAGCAATAAATGAAATCTGAAAAAAAAATGTATAAACTTACAATTAAATAAATTATATTAGAACAAAGATTTTTTAAAAATGCTTTTTTTTTAAACAATCAAACCCAATACTTGAGTACACTAAGTTAAATGGCTGAATGATGTGATAAACTATTATACAGATCTTAAATTCAAAAAGCTCTCTTTCCAACTTATATTAAAACTTGGAGTAAGAATATTTCCTAAAACTTACCTTGCAGTATGAACTTAAACAACAATAACCTTCATGTATTCCAAATAAAGTACATTTTTAAGTGATCTAACCATTGGTAAGCAATGCATACGTACAACTGAAGTACCTGTTAACTGCCGAGTCTCTAAGCTATTTTAGAACTTGAAAAACAGCTGGAAGTGCTGTTGTACTTTACAGAATAAACAATCTCAAATTTTGAAAAGACTAAGCAACAAGGCATTCTCCTTTACTTCAGTTCTACAAGATCCCCATGGATGTGAAAATACTTACATGGACAAGTTAGGAGATGGAACCCCCCTATCATCAGCTAGGTTCCCAAGGTGGCTCCGCGTTGAAATCGAACTGCTCTCTATACAGCACTTCTCCTAGGCCCTCTGGGTAGTTGTATACTTGGTCAGAAAGTTCGCCCTAAAGAAGGAAATAAAAGAATTAATAATCTGTAAAATGTTAGGTTGTGCTTTAAGCTGATTAAACTGATTTAAAATTTAACTGTAGGAGTAAGGTGAAGTTCCAGTTTTGAGTTCCTAGTCACTTTACCAAGTTGCTTTATCTACCTACTCATAAAAGTTCCCTGTTTTCATTTAACTCCATTTTTTGCTTTTAATGGTCCTTTGAAACCCAAATCTGTAACTGGCCTAAAATACAAAATTTCATAGTATCCTCACCAACATCGTGAACAAATGTTTCGGCATGATTTAGTACTCTGGAACTACCCAGAATACCCTTTCCCTCCTCAAATTCATTCAGTTCTTTGCTCAAAGTGTTAATCCTGCTGCTATCAGGAAGATGGGTTAGCCTTCATGATTTGGCTATTGTTGTTGTTGTTTGTTGTTATATGCCGTCGAGTCGGACCCGACTCATAGCGACCCCTCCTTGGGTTTCCGAGGCAGTATCACTACAGAAGTAGACTGCCCCATCTTCCTTCCGAAGAGTGGCTGGTGGGTTTGAACCGCCAGCCTTCTGGTTAGCAGTCAAGTGCCTTAGCCACTATGCTACCAGAGCTCCCGATTTCACTATTACATGTCTGAAAAAACTTTTTTTTTAATTATTGTGGTTTGGGTGCAAATTAACAGTGCAAAATTGTTTTACATTCAACAGTTCATGTACATTTGATTTCAGTTCATGTACATTTGAAGCCCAACCCTAACCCACTCCCCTCCCCTCCCCTCCCCTCCT